TCTATACAATATCTATATCCATCCTATCCATATCAATGTCAATAATCAATAGTATTCATGCTCAAATGATCAATCAATGAAATCGATGAAATCGTACAATACAGTAAATCCGATCAAATCAATAAAGCAGAAATCGATAAAGCAGTAAATTCGTATGTCAATACAGTAAACATGCATTCAATAGGAAAATACTGGACAAGCACAATCAACTGGCTATGTTGCTGTTGTAGAATCCATATTACTGTTGCAAATCGTGTACAATATTCATATCTATAACATTCTAAAAATTGTGCGGTGAAAGTTGTCTCAATACAAAATCATGTCCAAAATTCGACTACGAAAATATAAAACAGTGCACAACTCGATCAAAAATCAATATCTCTGAAAACAGAAATAGGATTCGGAGTCCTTACTGCGAGACAAACAAATCTTCCAACTGCATCGTCGGACGAAAAGCGCTCCGCGGCCTCCGAAATCCGGCTTTTCCTTCTCTTCCTTCTCTTTCTCTCTCCTGCCTTCTCTTTCTCTCTCTTCAAATGATCCAAAATATCTCAAATCCAATATTTATTAACACTGATCGTCCCAGACGATCCAAAATTCGTCCTGGGACGATTTGCCTCGGGCAGAATTTCGTACAAACGAAATTAAAATTCGTCCCGGGCGACTTGCTCTCTGGACAGATTTCGTACAGATGGATCGTCCCGACGCTCCAGGTTCGTACAGACGAAAATGACAGATTTCTTCACAAATTTCTTCAGTTCGTCCCGTACTAAATCCAGTTCATACAGACGAACTGCACTAAAAAAAATTCAGCTTTTTAAGGGTTTTACATCCTCGGTATCCAGGTACTTCAATCCACAAATGGTTATTTCCTATCTCAGCAACACTATGCTACAAAACTTCTTCTTGATGCAGGCTTTGAGAACAGCAAGTCGGCACCAACACCTATAGCTCCTTCGCCCAAAAAGCTCGGACAGACTACTCAGCCATTTCATGATCCCACGCTCTACCGTCGTCTCGCCGGATCGCTGCAATATTTAACCATCACAAGGCCGGACATTGCCTTCGCAACCAACCGCGTTTGCCAACATATGCAAAACCCGACCGAGCAGAATTACAAAGATCTAAAACGCATTCTCCGGTATATCAATGGGACTCTCTCGCACGGTCTGCCAATCTCCCCCGGATCCCTCGAGCTGCACTCTTACTCCGACGCTGATTGGGCATCGGATTCTTCGGACTGAAAATCAATCTCTGGATTCTGCACATTCCTCGGCCCGAATCTCATATCCTGGACCGTGAAAAAGCAAGGGACAGTTGCCAAATCTTCCACCGAAGCTGAATATAGGTCCCTTTCCGCAGCTACGTCGGAGGTTGTTTGGCTTCGCAGACTGGCTGCCGAGCTTCACCTTCCTCAGCCGAATCCTACAACCATTTATTGCGACAACACCTCCGCCATCGCTATAGCAAAGAATCCAGTTTTCCATGCGCGGACCAAACACATAGAGATCGACTACCACTTCATTCGTCAACAGATCAGTGCCGGCGACATCAAATTAGTTCACATATCCTCTAAAGATCAAGTCGCCGACATCTTCACTAAGCCGTTCTCTATTACTCGGTTCAACGAGCTTCGTACCAAATTAACCATTCGCTCCACGAATGCTTAATTTGAGGGACGATATAAGAATAACATAGTCCTTATATTTACGAGTCTGTATTTACAGCTCATACCATTATTTCCCTCTTTATGTTCAACTGTGCTGTAACAAAGATTACTTAATACACTAAATTACTTTTCTCATTTTCTTCTTCCTGCAACGTCTTCTTGTTCCTCTCTTGGTATTGATTCTCCTGGTTATGCTCTCATGGAGATGATAGAAGAACATAATCAGAGTAATTAGCATGGTTTATCATCTAATATGAGGGGAGCGTAAATGAAAATACATGTGTTAAATGTTAGTAGTTAGTATTAGGCAAAAATCAATAAGAACATCAAATGCAAAGTTTTTTTAAATTCTTATATATATAAAGAAATATGGTGTCAATTGGTGTTCGGGCAAAAATTTAGCGTCAATCAGTGGCTGAGTGGAAGTTTGACGTTAATTGGTAGCCGAGCGGAAGTCCGGCGTTAGTCGGATGACAGTCAGTGGTTTGACAGTAGTCGATAAAGAGTTTGGTGGCAAGAGAACTCTAATTTCTCTCTTTATTCTCTTCCTTGTGTCCCTCACCCTTTTATGAGAAATGAGAGGTTTATTTATAATTTTCTGAGAGTGACATGACCAGTAAATACGAGGGAAACCAAGGCTATGTTGGGAGTGATTTGAATGGACGACCGATATTAATCCCCTTGATCGTAGACCATTCACTGGGCATTTAAATATCTTAATGATATCAAAATTTGACCATCTTAGACTCATTGGATACATCTCGTCGAATCGCTAGATTCAACTATAAGCATGTCACATTTGAAAATCGTTTGGCAACCCAACTTATGATTCGAACCTTTCAATTGTGCTTCGGATCTTCGATTTGAACCCATTTGGGCTAATTTGGGTCGGATTTGATGTCGTTGGGTTCGTCTTTTCTAAGCTTTCGGTTCGACTATAAGACAAAAATCAGAGTTTGGATTGTCCCCAATTTAATTTTGCCTCGAAATTTGCGCCCGATGAAGATATATATTTTTTGATGATATATCAATTATTATAATAATTTTAATCATCTCTTGCATGGCCATTTATATGACTAAATAAATAAGATAAGAGGACAAAAATGTGCCGACATAGATTAGCGACAGCTTAATCATCCCTTGCACCACTAAATTCTTCAACAATTAAAATAATTATACACATCAACTTGTGAATCCAACAATTATATAAATTAAGAAAATCAATGAAAATCACAAAATTCATCACCAACAGCAGCAAGCACCATGTAAAAATACATAATTTATAACTTAGATTTCATTTATGATAGCTTTCATACTATTTTTTAAAATAACTTTTTAGTACGAAATTTTTTGATCAAAAATTTGTTGTACTAAAAACCTGTTTTAAAAAGCAGTAAGAAAGCTGTCTCAAATGAAATCTTATATTAACTTTAATAAGTGTGCAGCCTAAGGATGACTTAAATATATATAGCATAAACAAGTCAAGGTTTGTAATTGTGAAGTTTGTAGCGAATCTAAGAGCTTCAAATAAGTTTCGAAATGATTCAAGACGAGTTTGAGCTTGATTGCTAGAGCAATCTTTAATTTGAGGTCTGATTAATTGAGATCGAGCTCAAGTTCTAGCTTAATTCTATGAATTCGAGCTAGCTCATAAGGCGGCTAATTTATTATGAAAAAGAGAGCATGGCTATAGCTTTTTGTAATAAATTAAAAGAATGAACGTAAAATTAAGGCTTCATTTGGAGCAATTTTTTTACTACTTTCTACCGTATTCTTCTAGTACAAAGATTCTTAAAAATAGGAAAAAATAGCAGTCAAAAGGTATCCTGAGCTAGCTCATAAGGCGACTTCCATCAGTATTACCTGGTGAGTGCTAAATGATGTAAAAAGAAAAATTTAGATATCACGACTTCGTTTATGACAGCTTTTTTACTGCTTTTTAAAACAATTTTTAATATAAAAATTTTCTTAATTATAAATTTTGGTGCTAAAGAATTGTTATAGAAAGTTTTCCCAAACAAAAACTATAGATTTAAATTAGAATATTTTGGATACTGAGTGCAAGTAAATCCCTCTAAATATTAACCAAAACTATGATCTAAAAGCCTATGAAATTAAGGAAACTGAAAAAATTGCTTGATACAATTGAAAACTAAATCCGAATGTATTTATTTATTTAATATTTCAAAGTTTGGAATCTTAGGCATCTATTTTAAAGATAGATGGCATTGTTACTCTACTAAGGTTACGTTTGGCACGGCTTTCTTCTTTCTTCTTAAAGCGGTTTTTTAGTACATAAATTAAAATATTTGTACTAAAAAGCCGCTTTATGAAGCAGTAAGAAAACCGTCCCAAACGAAACCTAAATGGTAAACGATTATATATATTGCATATTTGAGTTTAAAGTTTCGTTTGGAATTAGGGGAGTTAATTTTTGACACGACCCGAATCCGACCAGGAAAAATCAGGGTTCGGGTCAACCCGAACCCGAAACAGGTCGGGTTCAAGTTCTACATATCAACTTGTTTTAAAAATCGGGTCGGGTTCGGGTTGGCCTAGCAACCCGAAATTGACCCAAAAGTGACACGAAAACTCATTTTTGACCCGAAAACCCGAGATTGACCCGATTTTTGACCCGAAAACTAGCAATTTTGGGTCAACCCCGGGTTATTCGTGTCGGGTCGGGTTGACCCGGACCCGAATCGGGTCGGGTTCGGGTTGACCCGAATAGTGCCGGGTCAATTCCGGGTTCGACCTGAACCCAACCCGTTGACCCGAATTGACACCCCTATTTGGAATGACTTTTTTAGTGTTTTTTAAAACAATTTTTTAGTATAAAATTTTAATTTTTATATTAAAAATTTGGTTTAAGGAGCAATAAGAATTAAGAAAGCTATCCTAAAGGAAACCTAAGGCTTTATTCGGGATAACTTTCTTACTGTAAAAAGCTGTATGATAAAACAGTAAGAAAATTATCCCAAATAGAACTTAGAATGACTCTTGATCAAATATTTTTGAAGCATTTTTAAAAATATATTAATTTTAATATTAAATATTTTTATGTAAAATAAATTAGGGTGAATTTTAAAATTTTAAATATATACTGAGATTAATATTATGTTAATTTTTTGTGAAAATTTTGAGCCTATGTTTTTTATCAAGATTCCCTGATAAATTTTGCAGTAATGATAATAATGAGAACCGAATCCGAATCCGAATCCGAACCCGAACCCGAATCAGCAGAATTTGTATCCGATCCAACAATTACGCGGACTCAACGGGCTCTTTCTGCCGGACTCCAAATTCTTCCCAAAATCCAAATCCAACACGTCAATAAAACGGCTGGCCGTTACCGCTCCCCTCCACGTTCTCCATCCACAGATCAATCGCGAGCAAGAAGAGAGCGCGAGAGAGCTGGCAATCATGGCGACGGCAGCTTCGGCGTGGGGGAAACCCGGTGCTTGGGCGCTAGAGTCAGAGGAGCACGCGGCCATGGAGAAGGATAATCTGTCATCCACCTTCCCCTCACTCACCCCGGCCACCTCCGACCCCTCCGCCGACTTCCCCTCCCTTGCTACTGCCGCCGCTTCCAAGCCATCGAAGAAGAAGAAACCGCAGGTTTTCTCTCTTTCCGAGTTTTCAGGCGGCAAGCCCGTCGGCCACGGCGCGGCAGCCCGATCTCGGCCAGCGGACGCCTTGTCGTCTTCCTCCTCGAAGGGTCTCACCGCTGATGAGATCCTCCTCCTTCCAACTGGACCGCGCGAGCGCAGCGCTGAAGAGCTTGAGCGATCATCCAGAGGATTCGGCTATTCTACATACGGCAACGGCGGGGCTCGTCGGGTGGACGGCTCTGTGTCTAGGGTTTCTGGGGATGAATCGAGGAGGAATCCTTTGAATAGGGATTCTGGGCCATCTCGCGCTGATGAGGTGGATGATTGGGGTTCGATGAAGAGATCGGTTGGGCCGCCTACTGAGAGGAGGGAGAGAGGCGGTGGGTTTTTTGATTCTCAATCAAGGGCTGATGAGGTGGACAGTTGGGTCTCCAAGAGAAGCAGTGCGTCTCCTGCTGATGGTTTGAGAGAAAAGAGGGGTGGTTTTGAAATTTTTGGCAAGGAGAGATCTGCCGTGGGTGGGGCGGAGTCCGATAGTTGGGGAAGGAAGAAGGAGGAAGTCATTCGGGCGGATTCGGATACGTGGGGGAGGAAGAGGGATGGTGTATCTAAAGCAGATTCAGATACCTGGGGGAGGAAGAGGGAGGAAGTTAATGGTGCTGGTGGTGGGCGACCGAGGCTAGTTTTGCAGCCTCGTTCGTTGCCGCTGGCCAATGGAAATACGGATAGCAACGGTGAAGCTAATCATGGGGAGAATCCAGTTGTTAATAGCAAGGGGTCGAACCCATTTGGACTTGCTCGCCCTAGAGAGGAAGTGCTGGCTGAGAAGGGGCAGGATTGGAAGAAGCTTGATGAGAAACTGGATTCCATAAAGATAAGGGAAGGAGTGACTGATGAACTGCCTTTAGGCAAGAAGGGACTGGGCTTGGGCAATGGAAGTTTGTCTGAGGATCGCACTGAAAGGAGTTGGAGGAAGGAACTTGCATCTGATGCTGTTGCTTCAATGTCTGGTTTTCTATTCCCTCCTAATAATATTTATTGATTCCGCTTCAGAATAATAATTTATTAGTTGGAATAGGTTCCATTCTTCTCTTTCACGTTGCAGAATTTGTCTTTTTTTTTTTTACTTCTTTTTTAATTTGTTTATATCTGGCTTATCGTAGTACCTTTGTTTTGATAAAATAGGTTCCTGCCTTCTTACTGTGGGTAAGTTAACTAGCTTAGTTTTTGCTTGGTTCTATTTAAAGTATCTCGGCCAGCTTTAATTTGCTCCGTTGCTTCTATTTTTTTGCTGGACTTACAACTTAAGATTAGATTTTGCTCCCTTAGCCTTTAATTTAGTCATCTATACAGAAAGCATGACATTTAGCTAAATTCATGTTTTTTAATTACGGCTTCTGCCGTTCTGTTGATTATAATGGCTATTTTCCTAAATAATGGTGTTAATTTTCTATTGTTGCGCAGATTACTTATATTTTATTAGTGTATACACAACTTATCCTCTCTATCATTGATTGTTGTTGCATGTTAGAAAACCTTCCTTTGTTCCATAAAATCAAATAATCTCAATCTGAATGGGACCCTGCATACAATTAGTTCAAAAAAGAGTTATGTTAGCAGTACAGTTGAGGGCATCTACCTTTGGTTAAGGCCTCTGACGTTCAGTTCAGTGATTGATTGAGCCAGAGATTGTTCTCAGAGATGCCTTTGAGGCTTGTGCTTGGAGGTAGTATGAAGCTTACCCACTTGTTAAAATTTGTTTATTCCCTCCCAACCAACATGGAAGAATCACAGAAGTTGTGATTTGACACCATTAATTTTAAAATTATGATTTAGAACAAATTCTTTTTAAATACAATCAAACTCTTAATATTAACATTTATTATTATTATTATTTTTAAACCCTTAATATTAACATGAACCTTTTTCTGATCTGAAGTTTGGGTTGAACCTTTTGTCATCAGTTCTTGATCCTATTGAGGGGTGTATATCTTTGTGGACATGGGTTAATGTAATTATGTTGATTGGTGTGCCTTTGTGAATCATCAATAGGCAAGGTACACCATACTACTCATTTTGTTTCTTGATGAACTCCATTAATATTGAAATATGCATCATTCGTATATTGCTATTTGTTTATATGAATTGATATATGATAGAAATTTTTTCCTATTGTTTGAGCATAGAATCCATTTATCACCTTTTTAACTTATCACTAATATTCTGAGGGAGTAGAGTTTCATGGGCTATTATCATGGGGAAATGAATAATCCATATTGTTAAGTTTAGCAGAACACATTTGATCTCAATAGTTGGTTCTTGAGATAAAATTCTATATCCATTTTATGTGATTGTGCTGATCAAACACAAATTTGTGCTTGATTGGGATTGGTCAGGATGTCAGGGTAAGTACAAACTTTCCCAATCAACGTACATGGTCATTGGAACATGAGTTTTGTGTACTTAATCATACGTTTTGTGCACTTCATTATTGTTTCTCTTACACAAGCCATTGTTGCCACTTAATTTTGGCAGACATAGGATATTAGAACTCGGGAGAGAGCAAGCTTTCATACAATTATGGCTATAATGACCCCTATGGATGTGGTGTAGGATTCGAGTTTCCTACTTTGATATTCTTTTTGGTGCGAGTTAGGATTGGGGTGTTATAGCAAGGCTTACACTTCCATAAATATTATCTATGACATCAAAATTAAGGCAAGGCTAGCAATTTCATTGTTTCTTTGTGGACATGTTCTATAAATCTTGTTAGTGGATGGTGCAATATGAGATATGGAGAATGAAGTAGCAAGGTGCCTTTATCTTCATTTCATTGCTGACCAAGTTGGAAGAATCTTCATTTTGTAGGCTGGACGACTAAACAATTTAGCTAAAGTTTAAGGCCTCAAGCTCTCTCTTTCTCTCTCTCTTGCGCGTGTGCTCGCACACGCTGAGCTATATTATTCAACATGTTGTGACAATGACCAATTATCCTTAATCATTTTTTAGATCAAAATATATGCTTACTAAAAAAAAGATGAGATTAATTTTGAATTTTCATTTGTCAGATAACAAACCTCAAGTTAACATTTATGAAGTCAACTAGTCATTTACAAATTATTATTGTTAGATCTCCTCATATGCTATATATCAAGAAGATAGGGAGGTTTAAATTTTGTTGTTGTTGAAAATGTGGCTACTTTGATAAGGATTCTATCATAAGCATATATGGTTGTTGAGTTATTAATAATTATAAAATTTAGAAATTTACAATGCAACCATCCTTTTAGAAGAACAAAGTCCATTCCCCTTGCACATCTTGCTCCCTCGATCAAAATAATTAAATGAATTAGATTCAAAGTAGCTAATAGTGAACTTTTAGCTAACTCTTATATTCCCAATGACTTTTACGCTTTTAGCTAATTCAAATATTATTCATTCACATATTTTGACTGAGGGTACAAGGTGTGGAAGGAGAAAGAACTCTATCATTCTAAAAGATATAATCTATTAATCTTACCCAAATTTAATTATCTTATGCCATTAGCACTATAATTTAGTTTTATGTTGTTGAGTGAGTGAGATAAACATGTTCATGAGTGTGTATGATTCTTACTATTGCGAAATTGATTCAAAATTAGTCAAATTGAGCTCTTATTTCATTTGCTGTGGAAAATTCATTTAATAATATGATTATTTATTGTTGTGATTTATGTGAATTGCTTCATTTATTGCTGAGTTTTATCGCTGGATAAATTATATTGTCATGATGAATACTTTATGTTTTTGCTGAAAATTTGGAGAGAAAAAGGGTGCATCTAAGTTTGGATGAGTTAAGCATGTAGGTGTTTGTCAAGTAAAAGAAGCATTGGAGAGAGGGTTACTACATTTATGATTTGACAGATCAATAAAAAAAAAGTGAAAGAAAGTGGAGTCTTGAATATTATAAGATTAAAAAATAAAAGAGAAAAAAAAGATAGGAGAAGAAGATTTTGATGGGAAACGATAATTTGAGAATTGAGAAGGTTCGTGTAGGAAAAGATTCTAAGTGTAGCATTAAAAAAAAAAAAGAAAGATAATGGAGGGGGTGGTTCATTGATGAGGTAAAAATAAGACGAAAAACAGCGAAGAGAGAAGTAAATAATTTAATAGAAAGGGACATAGTAAAGAGAAGCAATAGCCTATTGCTAAAGGTTTGCTAAGTTTGATCTCTCTTGAATGATCATTTCTTGTTCAAGGTTTTGTCTGTCTCTATTGACACAGACTCAACACTATGCAGAGCTGTCAAGGGGTTGCAGGGTGCAACTCTCATTACTCAGAATGCTAAGGGTTGGGGAAGGAGCCCTTAACTAAAAAATAGGTTCCATGAGATTTTTTATATTGTGTCATATTTGTGGATATATTTTGATAGAATATCCTTTGGGTAAATGCTTCTTTTTGCTTATTTGTTATTCACCATAACCGTGTGGTAATTAAAGCATGCCATTCCTATAATTTTAGTTCAAACAATATATTGAAATGCATGCAATCCTTGATGTAGGAGGATTGATCTGCTAATCACATAAAATGTCCATGACTTTTGATCTTCTTGTAATTTTTTTTTTTGGTTTCATTCTTAGAGGCAGGATGCTGGAGAAAACTTAAGAGGGAGCTGTTTCCATTCTCTCATGGCTGATGCTAGCTAACTTTGCCTCTTTTATAATTGAGCCCAGCTATTTACCATAATTGGTATACTTCTTAGATGACTTACAAAGTGATAGAAAAAGAGTTGCTTTAGATCATCTATTGGTTGGATCAACTTAAAAAATTAATTTGCCATGATTTTTTCTGGAAACAAAGGAGTTGGTCTGATAATAGTTTTTAGAGCCTTATCCCATTTGGATGCCACGTCACTCAACACAAAATTTAAAGCTTCATGTTGATTATAATCAATTTATTTGCCTTAGAATAAAAGTTAATATGGTTGGTTATATAGGCTTTTCTATTTTAGATTGACTTTGGCTTAAACAGGCTTATTGAGATGAATCAAGCATGAATGAATTTGTTTGCATTGAACCGATTTACTTAAGTGTTGCAGAGATGAGGATGCTTAGGTGGATGAGTGGCTTGACCCTTAGAGATAGGATACGAAATGAGCATATACGTGAAAAGGTTGGAGTAGCTCCAGTGGAAGATAAAATTAGAGAGAGTCGCCTTAGATGGTTTGGTCATATTAAACGTAGGCCTTCCAATGACCTGGTTAGGAAAGTTGGGTATTAGATTTGATTATGTTAAGAAAAGTAGAGGTAGACCTAAAAAGAGTTGGTTAGAAAATATTAGAATTTAGAAATGATCTTTCTTTATTAGATTTAAATGAAAATTTGACTTTTAACCGAACGCAATGGCGAAAAAGGATTCATGTAGCCGACTCCACGTAGTGGGATAAAGACTTGTTGTGAGCTTCCAATGTTAATGCCATTTTGTTGCTGATATCCTTCAATTTTTGTTACAGGAAAGAGGATCAAACCGAGGCGAGCTTACTTGATAACTGATCCGGTTGAGCTTAATTTAATGCAATTATGCAAGTGATGGAGGCATTCCTGTGGGCTGTGGCTATCTCCGGCTTCAAATTTTGTTCGTTATATCTTTGTGATGTTTTTAAGTTTTTTTAGGTGAGCAGAGTCTAGAATTTGGTTCGTTAAATATTATACAATGGTTTGTCCTGTTTGGAAAATCTTTCACGGTTTCTTTGTTTCTGAGTGATTGCGCTTGCTTTGCTTAGGATATTTAGCCCTTCTTGTTTCAGAGTTGTGTTTGGTTTGTTGATTATTTAGACAAATTTGTCTACGTTGTTCTGCATGTTGGATTCATAATCATTGTGATAAATTTATTTGTATGTTCTGTTCAGTGCGAATCAAAATATTCATATATATACTTAGTCTGTTTGGAATAGCTGCAGTGTTTTATAAAGTTGGTTGTGCTATTTTGATTGCGGAAAATAGGATTCCATAAGCAATTAGAAAATTATCCTAAATAGATTCTTACTATACCCTATATTGTAATCAATAGGTTTCTAACCTGAGTTTGCAATTGCAACAGCACTTTCTTCCATTTTTCATCCATTCTCTCTCAATATGATCTCTTTCATTCGTTTCCACTGTAATCATTAGCCTTTCTCTTTCATTATTTGCTTCACAGGCCGTTCTCTTCATCATTTTAATCCATCTTATCTGTCTAAATTCTCTCCATATAATGCTACCTTGACTATCCAACTAAAGGAGAAATTATTCTGTGGAGGTTGGACACAGCTCTACGTTCGGAGATAAAACAGGTGCATCGTCGTCAGTGATACTGGGCCACGGTACCGAGCAATACCGAGCCGTGGTACACAACAAATGAGTGGCCTGATGCATTTTGATTGATATCCGGATGGCGTTCGACGTTCGCACAGAATAATTAATCCAAACTAGGACCATTCAAGTTAAACAAGCCATCAAGGAGGAACCAAATGTCGCTCTACCTTCGAATTCATCCAATACATAGCTCGAGTTATTAAACGTCAAAAATTGATGTGGATCTGACCTACCAATCCATGTAGTCAACTAATACTATGGTTAAATTTATCATTAAGTTAAAACAGAGGGTTTAATAATCCAATCAAATGCTTAATCCACTATGATTAATGTAATAACAAAATACAAGCTTAATTAACACACTTAATATTTTTTGAAATGCTCCTCATCTCCTCCTAATCCATTCCTTATTGGAACAGTTATCAACCCATCTCACCTCTCTCATATATCAACCCCACATACAACATAAGCTCTCCTACTCCAATTTCCATTCTTTTATCATCCAACATAGCTAACTTTTTAGCTCAAAACATACTGATAAAGATGAGATAATATATATAATTCAAGTATTGTGCACTACAACAACAACAACAACATCAAGCGATTGTCCCACTACGTACGGTCGTCTACATAAATCATTTTTCTCCATTATGTCCCGTTAGAAGTCAGATTCTTGTTTAAATATAATAAAGAAAGATCATTTCTAATATTTTCTAACCAAATATTTTTAAGTTTACCTCTACCTTTCTTAATATAAGTCAAATCTATAACTCTACTTTTCTAACCGGGTCATCGGAAGGCTGCCGTTTTATGTGATCAAATCATCTAAGACAACTCTCTCTAATCTTATCTTCCACTGGAGCTACTCCAACCATTTCACAGCAATAACAATATCATCATCATCTTTTTTCTATGTATATAAAAGACATGCATATCATGCCTTCCCATCCACAGTTCAACATTTTCCTGGCAAGTCCATAATTCATGGAGCTCAGCCTCTCATCTTTCCTCCTATACTTTTCCCTCTCCTCTCTCCTTCTCAAACTCTCAGCTCAAACAGAAAATACTGCCCTCCCGGGCACCATCGAGCGCGCCGTTAAGCAGCAAGTTCTCGTCGCCATCCCGCCCGGCGAGCCGGCCACCTTACCACCATTCCTCACTTCCCCTACAGGTGATGAAAAAAGGCTAAGGATGGGTTTCAAAGCAAATTCAAGTGCTCTGAATCACATGTTGATGTGTTTTGTATCAAGATATTTTGATATTAGGGAATATAATATAATAGATTAATTAATAAGTAGTTAAGATGTTAGGGATCTTAGAGACAAAATCTAAAATGAGTACAACTTCAAGCTTTTGTTTTACTACGTGGGGTCGGTTACATGAATCTTTTTTCTCCATTGTGTCCCATTAAAAGTCAAATTCTCGTTTAAATCTAATAAATAAAGATCATTTCTAATATTTTCTAAAGTTTTTTTAGGTCTACCTCTATCTTTTTTAACATAAGTCAAATCTAATACTTCTACTTTTCTAACCGGATCTTGGTTGTCCCCTAATGCAAAATTTCTCCAATCATATCTTGCCACCCCTGTCCGGCAGGCAAGTACGCCGCCTCCTTCCTCCGTACTCCGACGGCTCCTGGCGCCGGTGGCTTCGGCAACGACTTCTGCTACATCCAAGTGACGGACACCGCCACCGGAGAGAGCGTTTGGGAGTCGGAATGCACGCCGGTGAGCACTTCCAACACCTGCTCCCTCGTCTTCTCAGACGACGGACTCGAGATCTTCGACGGGAGCAACTCGGCTTGGAACTCCGACGCGCAGTCCAACGGAGGGAACCCACTGCAGAGCCTGGAGCTGGTGGATGAAGGGGACATGAGAATACGGGATAAAGAAGGGGAGTTGGCGTGGAAGGCGAGCGAGGACCCGCGGAGTAATCAGAGGTGTGGTGAGGCGGGGTCGCCGGGTCTGGCGGCGTCTGTGCCGCCGTTTGCGCAGCCGGCGGGAGGGAATAATGGAATGGTTTTCGGGCAGCAGGCGGGGGGTGGGGCGAGTGGGGGTTATGGGTTTGGCGGGCAGATGGGGGCGGGAAGCGGCGGTGGAAGGAATGTGAGGGTCGGAGTGGAGGTCGGGTGGGTGGTGCTGTTCTGTTTTATGACTTTTTGATCTCTCTCTCTCTCTCTGTCTGTCAATGGAGATGACTGAATTGTACGTTATATTATGCTCCTTATTGATTTCGATCTGCTTTGTCGCTCTCTATCCGCATTAAAAATATTGGGAGATATCATTCACGATGATCATAACTGATAAAAATTTCATTTTTATTTTATGTAATTGCACCATACAATCTGATATTCTTAATGCCATCGATGATGCTTACTAAATGCCTCTGATATTCTTAAAAAATGGATCTTTGATGACTGATTTGGCCATGACATGGTCATGAGAGATCAAGATCTACATAGATTGAAAAAGTTGCTAAAGATTTCGTTTGGAATAGATTTTTATGTTTCTTAAATCAATTTTTTAGTATAAAAATTTTATACTTAAAAAGTTACTTTAATAAACAATAAAAAAACCGTCATACAAATTTTATTTTTTTGCCAATGGAGGAATGTTGGTGATTGTTCAAGAAATCTATGACTACCAATATTTTGAAGAAGAAGAAGAATGTCTCAATAAAATAAGGCAACTTGTTTTTGAATGATACATTGATGACTCGATCTCATCTTGGGCTTCATTTCGGATAATTTTCTTATTATTTTTTAAAATCACTTTTTCTTTCAAAAAAATTTTGCAGTACAAAAAATTTTATACTAAAAATCTATTTTAGAAAGCAGTGCGAAAACTGTTCCAAATGAAACCTTAAATACTTCAGAGTCATTCAAATTCACAAAAGGAAGAAAAAATGAGATGCAAAAAGAGAAAAAATTTAATTGATTATATCCTCATCTCCTCTTTTAACTAACTAATCACCCTAATGAATACTAATTACAACATATTGCAAATTAATTAATTGCATTTTTATGTTATGGGCTCATACTAATGGTTCTGTTTCTATTAATTTGATGAAATTAAGAGCAAATTTTCTCCTTTTTTTTCCTAATTTTATTATGCAAAAAGAATATTACTCTTCTTTTAAATTTGAAATATTTCTCTTTTTTTTTTCAATATATGCAAGACTTTCATACTGAAAATACAAGAAGCTTCCAGCACATTGGAGACAACTTTTTAAATTTTGTATAATGTAAAATAATAAATAAATAAATAAATACTTGAATTGGTTTTTGAGATACTGAAAAGTATTTCTTATAATGCAATCATCACATAAATTTACATCCTAATATATTTATGAAAATTCAATTTACATAAAAGTGGACTGTTTTGCAATAAAAGATTGTTGGGTGATATTAAAAAAATTTCAATGATTGATATTATAGTGCTGATAAAGACTGATGGATGTAAAGAGTTTTACATTTGTGAAATTGAAAGAGATGAAATATAAATCAATATTATAATTTTAGGGTGTTCATAAATGATCTCATATGATAATTTCATATAATTTTAATTATATAATTGAAAAAAAAAATCTATGTCAGAATATTTTAATGAAGATAAGTTTTAAATTTATTAAATTTATTTTAAATAAAATAATTTTAAAAATCAAAATTTAAATTAAGTTTATTTTGAAATAAATCTTACAACTTTAAAAATTACCCTTAACAAATTTTTTGGGGGCAATTTACATGCATAGCACTTAAAATTTAATCATTTATACATTTAATATCTAAATCTTACTATGTATATAATATATTGCTCCACTAACTTCCATTAAATTCCTTAAAAAATTCTTGTGGGATGATGAGGAATCAAGAAAGTTGTAATGTAATATAAGTGATCAATTAATGACACGATCCGAACCCAACTGGAAAAATATGAGTCGGGGTCAAGCGGTTCAACAAATGGGTCAGATTTGGATCATAATTATCAACCAGTCTTAAATACTTGGTTGTAACCTTGGATCGACCCGCACCCCTCATCTTGCAGCTAGCTTCCATATTTGCATCATCGTCTCAGTCCCGTGTCTGCATCCCTGTCAAGCATAATTGTCTCGCATTCGTGCAGTCTTGCTTGCCCACCACTCGCCCCCTCGTTCTCGTCTCATATAGTCACGCTTGCCTATCTCGCATTCTCGCTCTCACATAGTTGAGCTCATCCGGTTGAGCTCACACAGGTCGGTTCGTGCCCAATCAGGTTAGGTTCAATTTAGACAAGCTGAAACAAGGTCGATTCCCAAATTGGATCAGAACTCGACCCAAAAACCGTTTTGACACATTTAAAGGCGAGACGAAGAAGGTCAAATCCCAAGTTGGATCCAATCAACATATTGATAGAATTACTGGCTTGATTTAATGGAGAGATGAAGAATATGCTGTTTTTATTATTATTTAAAATTTTAAATGTTGTATGAATAAATAAAATAATTTTGAACGGTAGATAAATCCCCCAAAATTTTTTTTTTTTTCATACAAATTTTCTTGTGATATCTTCCCAGTTGCTAGTAGACGCAGGTTTTACCATGGCTATCCCATCCTCTTCTCTTACTTTCTTCTTACTCGCCGCTATCGCCGCCGCCGCCGATGCCATTCACTCCAGCGCCATCGACTACGCCGAATCCACCATCGCAGACATCCAATACTCCTTCGCCGACGGTACACTCACCTCCCGCCAGCTCGTTCAATACTATTTAAACCGAATCCACTCCTTCAACCCATACCTCCACGCCGTCATCGAACTCAACCCCGATGCCCTCTACGACGCCGACCTCGCCGACCGCCGCCGCCTTCCCACATCCGGCCTCCTCCACGGCATCCCCATCCTCATCAAGGACAACATCGCCACCCGCGACCGCCTCAACACCACCGCCGGATCCCTCGCTCTCCTCGGCTCCATTGCCCCCCGCGACGCCGGCATCGTCCGTCGCCTCCGCGCTGCTGGTGCAATTATCCTAGGCAAAGCGAGCATGAGCGAGTGGGCTCACTTCCGATCCTTAGACGCGCCCAACGGCTGGAGTGCGCGAGGTGGGAAAGGGCGAAATCCTTACGCCGCGGCAGTGGATCCGTGCGGGTCGAGCAGCGGATCGGCGATCGCTGCTGCGGCGGGGATGGCAGCGGCGACTATCGGGACGGAGACGGACGGATCGATCATCTGCCCGGCGGCGGCGAACTCGGCTGTGGGGATCAAGCCGACGGTTGGATTGACGAGCCGAGCCGGGGTAGTGCCGATCTCACCAAGGCAGGACTCGGTTGGACCGATTGCACGGACGGTGGCGGATGCAGTGGCAGTGCTTGATGTGATTGTTGGGTATGATGAGAGGGACGCGGAGGCAACGCAGGCGGCGGCGACGATAGTGCCGAAGGGCGGGTACCGGCAATTCTTGAAGGAAGATGGATTGGAGGGCAAGAGGGTTGGGATACTTCGCAATGGCTTTTTCAGATTTGCAGAAGGGTCTTTAGAGGAGAAGGCTTTCGCATCGCACTTTGATGTCATGAGGTAAAGCTTCTCCTTCGTTTGAATTTGGAAGGAAGCTAAGAATAGATTGATGAACTTAAATCAGTTGTTGCAGACTCTTCATTAAGTTGCAATCCCTTATTTCTTGCATTTTTCTTCACTAGATATCGAATTTTTGCAGGAAAAAAGGAGCAATCTTGGTGGACAATCTAGAAATATCAAATGTAAGTACCATACTTGATCCATTCCAAAGTGGAGAAGAAGCTGTTCTCTTGGCTGAGTTCAAGCTCTCACTCAATGCTTATCTCTCTGAGCTTGAAATCTCCCCTGTGAGATCTCTTGCAGACATCATAACATTCAACAATGAGCACAAAACTGAGGTAAAAAAAAAACTCTCCTGTGATCTCTTCTCCAACTTCACACTAAGCAATTTAGCAATCTATATACTTAAATCTGAATGCAGGAAAGGATTGAAGAGTACGGGCAGGATGTGTTCTTGGCTGCAGAGAACACAAACGGGTTGGGTGCAGTAGAGAGATTTGCCATTAAAAGAATGGCTGAGCTCTCTGCGGATGGATTGGAGAGGCTGATGAAGGAGAAGAAGTTGGATGCAGTGGTGACCCCAGATTCAAGCGGGGCCTCAATTTTGGCCATTGGAGGCTATCCAGGGATCAGTGTCCCGGCTGGTTATGGGAGCTCAGGGGCTCCTTTTGGCATCTGCTTTGGGGGATTGAAGGGCTCTGAGCCAGAATTGATCGAGATAGCTTATGCTTTCGAGCAGGCCACTAAAGTCAGGAAGCCACCATTGCTGAGTTCACCAGGATTGAAATGGATGCCTGTGGAGGAGAAATGATCATGTGTAGGCTTCATTTGGGACAACTTTCGTACTGCTTTGTAAAACGGTTTTCTAGTAAAAAAATTCAAATTCAAGAAATTTTTGTACTGAAAAGTTGTTTTAAAAAGCAAGAGAAAAGCCGTCCCAAACGAAGCCATAGTTGCATATTCAATAGTGCATCAAATATCAACAGTTGAGGAACTGCAGCAGTTTATAAGGTGATAATTTTGAGAACTCTTAAACTATTACTCTTTATCCTTTACTACTCAACAAATTGACATCAATACTTTCTTTCTGGTGGTTTTTGCCACTCAGTTTCTCTGATCATGTTCACCTATAGTCAAGAAAGCTTTGACCAATTTAAAACTACTATGAGCATTACAAGTTTTTTTCAAGATCAAGCAACTATATTTTATCACATTCTAGCAAATCTGACTATAAAAATTCTAAAAAAATAATTTGTTATCGTAAAAATAAAATTATAAAATAATTGTCCCAAATGATTGGTAGGAGCTTTGCGCATCTACATTTTTTCTCATATTTTTTATGTATCATTTAAGGCATAAGTGTTTGCACATATCATCAGAATTTGACTAAGGCTTTATTTATGGAGACTTTCTTGCTGCTTTTTAAATCAATAAATCAAAAGTATTAATTTTTATGCTAAAAATTTGTTTTAAGAAGCAATAAGAAAGCCGTCACAAACGAGGCCTAAAGCTGTATTTAGGACGGTTTTCATACTACTTTGTAAAACCGTAATAGAGAAAGCAACTTTTTAAAACTGTTGTAGGAAAAAGCTTTCTCGCACAAAATTTTCTTAAAAGTAGCAAAAAAAAAAGTGGTAAAAAAAGATTGTTGTTGCGATCAGAAAAATAAAACAGTAAAAAAATTATAACGAATGAAATATAATAGCTATCGAGTTCGGTTGAAAATTTTAACCAAAGATTGCCATAAGCTTAATGTGTGTAATTGGGCTGTGTATGAAACAACAATATCTGCATTTTTTTTAATTATTATTTTCTTCTAAACATTGAGAAGATGATAATGTTCATATTATGGGACTCCATTTGGCTGAAAGGTATATGGAAGAATTTTATTTCAAGAAGAAAATTATGATTTGGAAGTGCAATCAATGTGCACAACTACCAATCATCTTCTTTGTGTTGAAATCATGAGAAAATTATGCTACCTCTTCTTGCAATGACAACTCAATGAACTTTTTTTATTAGAGTAAATTTGAAGTTTTGGCCTCAGTAATCATGAAGAAACTAGGAAGCAAAACTATCTTATATTAGGATTAGAGTCTGAAACTCATAAGTAAAAACATCGAGGCGTTTTTTGGTATAATTGTTGGAATTTTATTTAAGAAACTTCAAAGTTAAGTATACTCATCCTGGAGCAATTCTATGATGGGTGACTTACTGGGAAGTTACACCAACAGGATAAGACCGTGAGACCTTTACATCTAAGCAGACAATATTTCAATAGTTAAAAATTTGAATGGTTACACAGAGGACCGCCCATTAATGCTAAAAGAAGATTATTACTCGTTTAATTACAAACAGGGAGAGCTGAGCTCTCATTCCAGTCTTAATTAGTTTTGGAACATGGCCTAAAACGTCTAAAAGGAACCGAATGGTCTGTTTAATGGAATTCTTTTCAGTTTTAGTTTTGAATACCTCATTTCCTAAAAATATACATAAAAAAAAGCTTCTTTTTTCATATACACAAGCAGATCATTGTAGTGATGCTTATCTCAATACCCCGCTCCATCCTCTCAGGCATTTTATCAAAAACCTTGCAGCGGCAAACAGGGCAAGAGAGTACCCGCGAGGCAAAGAGCCAGGAATCGATGCAGTGGCGATGAAAAACGTGCTTGCACGCCGGAAGCACCTTCACCTCGTCGCCGACCTCGTAATCCGCCAAGCACACAGCGCAGCTCTCCGGTTCATTAACTCTGGCGCTGCTGCCTGGAGCTGAAGAGGAAGAAGACGAAGGCAAGGAAGCTGCAGGGTGCTGGTAGATATCGACGGCTATGGAGCTGAGATCTGCAAGGCGCTGCTGCGCGGCCTCCGGAGCAGCACGGAATGCGGATGAGTGGAAGGCCACGCCGGGAAAGCGGCGGCTGAGGAGCCAGAGTTTAATGGATTGGAAGGCCATTTCAACTAAGATGTAGAGCATAAGAGAGCACAAGGGGATGGCTATGGAAACGAAAAGGGTTTCGGCCGCTATGGCTTGCGGAGAAACCATGGCGGAATGGGAGAGGAGAAAGCGGCGCCAGCGCAGAGAGGTTTATGGGGGAGGAGAGAGGAAAAAGATGACAGCTTTGTTGATTATGGGAATTGGGAGGTGAATCAGGAAGGGTTTTGGGGAAAGGGTAATGCGTGTTGTACTGCTTTTTCGGTGGATTAATGAGATAGCCGTTGCTTTCCTTATGGGCAATTCGTTTGTATTCATTGTATGGTTTGGGAGAAATTATTTTGTCAATGATGGAGATCAATTAGAATGAATCATATCGGTACTGTGATTCAATACTGTTCGATACTGTTTGATATTAAGTTCGATATTTCTGACGTGATTCATTCTGGTTGATCTTCGAATGTAAAGCTGCATTTGGCCTTCACATAGAATAATTTCTCCTTTTTTGAACAAAGCTAACGGTTAGAATATATATAATTTATGATACAAAATGTGAGGATATAATTATATATATATTTTCTTTTTTATAATGTACGCTTCGTTTGGGACAGCTTTCGTGTTGCTTCTTAAAGCAACTTTATAGTATAAAAATTTTAATTTTTGTTCTAAAAAGCTACTTTAAGAAGCAAGAAAAAAACTGTCCCAAACAAAGCTGTAATCAAATATTTACATTTCAAGAAAAATAAAAGTTTTTTTTAAGACTTGGGCTTAAAATTGGCTATGTAAACTTTATCAAAAATAGCAATGCAAGCTTAAAAAAAAAAGATCTGATAGCCATAATCAGGTTATAGGTGATTCTATCATTAATATTTGTTTTTTGTGACATTAAGTCAATTAAGACAAACTCACATAAACATATACGTAAAATTCGAATTCAACACCTCAAAATTGATAGTCAAAACTTCTAACCTACAGATCAAAATAAACTAAATACTCTATGATTTGTTGAAGTTATTTCAGCTATAGATTATTACTTCGTCTGAAATAACTTTTTTATTGCTTTTTAAAACTCTAATTTCTATACTAAAAATGTTTTAAAAAACAATAAAAAAATTATCCCAAACGAAACCTATATCTATAAAGCTATTTTTATTTTATGAATTTGATAGAAGAATCTTTATGCATCTTAAAGTAATCCAATAATAGTGTGAATTTATTTGAAGGATATAACATTCCTACTTAAAGGTACAGATCCACCACTAATCATGAAAGTAAACAGACAATTTAAATTAATCTTTCGTAAAAATTAGACTCTAGCCATGATAAATTGTGCTCACATTTCCCACTCATTTGAGCTTAATTTGAACTAACCAATCAGGCCCAAGCTTAATTAAAGAAGATTTGGCAAATGCATTCGACGTGCGAGATTTGGATTTGCCGCCCACGAGCTGCTCAACTAGCTGCCAGCAGCGGCCTGTTAGAGCTCGAGCTCGATAAGCCGTCGAGCTCGACTCGTCGAGCCTGTTATCGAGTCGAGTCCGAGCTGACTCGCGAGTCGGCTTGACTCGTTTGCACCCCCAGCGGAGTAAGCACACCATCCGAACTCCAATTAAACAAAGAAACTTGGATTTTTTTTCTTTGTCTTCTACAAAGTGTGTGTAGAGAGAAAATTCAGATATCTTCACAATGATTAGAGTCCTACCGAAAAGTTGTGTTCAGACTCCACATGTAATAATCTCTCGTAAATACGAGGATTAAACTCCGGAGACAATAATAACACCCATCATGGAAAGCTAAAGTGGAGCAACAGGAGAAAGTTGCAACCAGGGATGCCACTCCTGTAGACTCCAAACACCATGAGAACATCAACATAAGCCACACTAATGTTTTGGATTGCGTATGGATTGTCCATCATCATCAAGTGCTTAGTTATTCATACTGGTTCACTAATGCAATCCTACTAGCTCAAAAGCAAATCTATGGCGCTCTATGTCACCTAAAGAGCAGCTTTCAAAACAACTGGAATAAATAAGCCTCACTACAGATTACCATTATCGCAAACTTGCACAACTCAACAGAAGGAAAAATGAAGCCTTAAAAAGAAACAGGAATCACCGCATATTTCCCTCACGCAAGACATCTACCATGTCAAATATTCTTCTTTTGTCAGTCTTGGACTTGATCTGCAAGTGAACAAAATCATAGATTACTGAAGTTTCCTAAGGGTTCATTTGGTTCATTATGTTTTCAGTCATTTTTGAAGAACAAAATTTGCTAACTTCAAGCAACCAGATGAGTTCTACAGAGAGAACATAATTTGACAAGTAACAGTGAAAAGGGTGAAGAGAAAGATCAATTGACCTTCTTGGAAAGAAATATGGCAGCATCAATGGTGCCCTCGGCATATATTGAGCGACCGCAAACATTGTGCTGGAACTCGAAAGAAACGCTGATGAAAGCAAGCGAAGAATTTGTAGGTAGACTGAAACAGACTATGGAACTTTCAGTAAAGCTGATTTTAGGGATGGTATGCTTACGTGTCGTCGGGCGAAGTGAGATGGTACATATGAAATGCATGACCTTCGAGATGCTCTTCAGGAACACCCACCATCTCAAGTTGTTTCTTAGGGTCTCTGATCATTTTTATCTATCAATAAGAGTAAAAACTAAGATTCATAAGCAAAGTAACTCAACATTCTATAGATAACAGGGGCGGAATCAGCCTTTCCTTTTAGGGGGAGGGGGAATTTTCATATAAATAGATAAAATTATAAAAAATAAAATAAAATGAAGACATAATTCAAAGCAAAATCTCATATTTCATTATGATAGATAAATTGAAAATTATTACAAGCTTATTAATCTATTAAGTCCTAGAAAAGTATAAATTGAAATAAATGAAGGCATGATTTGTTCGAAATTTTTGCGCTTATGTTAGAGTGATTACGGGTGGTTAGTGCAAAAGGGGGGCAAAGTAAGAGGCTTAAGGGGGGAATAACTTAAATGCACCTCTTTTATAATTAATTTTTTTTTAAGGGGGGCAATTCCCCCCTGACACCTAGTTGATAACAATCATTTATGTATGCTCATTAAGCTGTTGCAATAATGTAACTTAACCTACAGAAAAAAAGATCTTGCTACTGCACTTGGGCTCGGAGGCCCGGGCTCAGTGGAATCAAATGCCCCAAAAATAAAGCAAATAAAAAAGAAATGAACAGTAGCAACGATAAGAATGCGTCGCCTTCTGCAATTTACATGCAGGCAATGAAAACATACACTCTAAACCATTCATCAAGATTTTCCATTCTTGTATGGCATAAGTGGTATTGTCAAACATGGTGGGTGAAGGATAAAACAAAAGAAATGAGGGCAACTTCATAACCTGTCTTCATGAATGAAGCCCTATATCACTGATCCACTTAACTAGTAGGTTAGACTTAACAGAAATTATATAGTCACCCAACTAACCTTATTCACGTCAAATGAGACACCCAGCTTCTGAAAGCAAGAAATAACAGCTTTAGCTGTACCAGATGTATCTAGCTTGCCTGCTTGATGAGATTCCATCACCTGTTAAATATGCAATCGGTCACAAAAATTAACAAGAGTGTATAAAGAAGAACAACAGCTGTGGACAAAAGAAATCATTCAAGACATGAAGACAAAGAACTCTAGCATTTACGAAAGATTACATATTTTAATGAAAATAACCTTCACATTCCAGCAGTCATACTTCAAAGTTCTTGAAAGAAAAGTAGCTTAAGAATGTCTAAAGAAAATGGCCCTATTGATTTTTATCAGAATCCAAACTTGATAAAATTTAAGGAGATTTTTCTGTTTTAGCTAAATTTGAATAGGTGTGCAAAAAAAAAAGTGTCCTCAAGAATTTCAATTCTTATGTATTTGAAAGAATCAAATATAGATAAGACATCGCCTTAGAAGAACAGAAACCCTTCCAAGCATATGTGATTTCTGGAATATAATCACTTCAATGATGTGGAGCAAAAATAATCTTGATAGGCTTTCAATTCTCCTATAATCATGCAATGTATCAAAAAATCATGGTAGACATGTCTAGAGAGTTTTATAAAATGGTAGATGAAAGGTGACTCCAAAAGGAAAAGGCCTTGGCATGAAACAGTAATCATGGCTATTTGAAAAAGTTAAAAACAGATACAATCTTGCAAATACTAACAAGTAGAAAGACCAAATTTTGACATAAATCCAGTTTCTCCTATGATTGGTGAAGAGAAAATTTTAAAACTAGTGTAAATTAGTAAAACCTGTAATGAATAGCCTGAAAACGCTCCAGGAAACTGCTCAGCCATTAATTCCATAGCTGCAAGAAATGCAACAACCTACTCAAAGAAGAAAAGTTTAGTGAAAATCTCATCGACACAGAAAGAAAAGTAAAGGTCAGAAAATTATTCTATTGATTTTGAGAACTTTTAGACTGACCTGTTTCCCCATCTGTGGAGAAATTACTGCATAAACATTGGCATCTCTTACTGTCTTATACAACAATTCTCTGTCTCCTCCTGTAGTGCCCATGACAAATGGCAAGCCTAATTTACAATAAAGTTCAGCATTTCCTGCAGAAATAAATATATGAACTCAGACTGAGTCACGCCTGAGCATGAGTTTGTACATTAATGGAGTATGTCTGCATTGCTGAGGAACACAAACACACCACTTGAAGAATTCTGACTATGTATAAAAGAACATTAATGCTATTGCCAGTTATTCAATTTAACAACATTAATATAGCATCTGAAAGAGAGGTACTGTGGGGATGGTATTGATGCCAATGCTCTAAACAAGAAGCTCCAAACAATGATAAGAATGATCAGCTTATGACTGCAAATATCATTGTTAGAGATAACAACACTCTGGACATCAATTCTAGCCTTTTAGACTAAGGCTCCGTTTGGGACGGCTTTCTTACTGCTTCTTAAGATGGCTTTTTAGTTCAAAAATTAAAATTTTAATACTAAAAAGCTGTTTTAAGAAGCAGTAAGAAAGCCGTCCCAAATAAAGCCTAAAATAGTCATCAAAACAATGCTACCACTGTAGCTCAAATTAATGACGTGGATTAGGAAAATTATCTTGGTAAAGACAAACATGAATCTCTAGCTCAAGAGATAGTTGAAACTGTGGTTCTCATGCTAGAGTTGCTCATATAAGTTCCTTCGTGTCCCTTGATCTCATTCCATCTCCTCCTACATATGCTAGTGATTGAGCAAATAGCCAGGATGTGGGTGATGAGGTCCCACCAATTCCATGCCTCATATCACGACGAATACTTCGCTTGGTGGTTCCTCTTTGGTAGACAATGATGTTGCGGGTGGCATTGGTGGTATTGGCATCGGCGGCCAGCTCATGTTCAATTGCCTAATATGGAGTTGAATGCTTTTGTTAGAAGCTATTCTCAATCGTCTTTTATTGTTGTGGGTGCTTTCGGCCATATATCAAATTTTAGCAATTTGGCAGGGTTGGGTAGTTCGAACTTTTGGGTTGATTTTGATTCCATGGATGAACAAAATGATGATTTATCTTATCATCCTCTTGGTCATGCTCAAGAGGAAACTTAGACAGTACATCACTTTGTTGAGTAAGCTATTATGACTCACATATAGACAAAATGATTGGGAATAATCAATACTTTATAAGCACCCATTCTTCAACCAAATACTGTATAGATAAAAGTAGGTGTATTAAGGGAAGGCACTATTGGGTGACAAATGATGGTATTGTTAGCCCAAATGACTTTCTAAGGCCATGATAAGGCTTAAAAGTGAGCCCCATCCAAGGCTAGGGCAATAGTAGAAACCGCATTCATGTAGCTACCACTGATAATGATACTTACATAAATTGTCACCACTTTAAAATAAGTTTGAAAAATATTGGTGTGTTTCTCGTCAATTTTGGCTTGCAGGATAGTCAATACACATAGTTACATTACCAGATATGAGGCATCCATATAGAGACTCCTATGGAGACAGATACTAGCAAAATGGCCAATTTTGTTATATGTGAAGCAAGTGATTCCAAAGGTTTTGGAGCTAATAACCCCAAATTTAGATTTTCCTTTAAAATCCGAAGTTCCCTTCAGAGATACAAAAGTGTTGAGGGCTGATTTTTGGAAGTACTTTTCGATGGAGGAAACCTCTGAGGAAGAGGATGAATATACTGCTCCAATTGAAGGTTATTTGGAATGATTCCTCAAGAGTGAAGATATTTCAAGCCAACATTTCCCAATGGATGTTAGAATACAACCAGCAACAAAATCTAATTATGGTGACCCAAGAATCTTTTATGACGTCCTATTATATCATTAACTCACTAAAACAAGTCATATAAGGGGTCTCGAAAGACCGTCAAATGTGTCTTAGCATAGTCAATTACTCTAAAAATCGATCATTAAATATTAAAATAAGGTATTTTTCTTTGAGTCGCTTCTTTAGTTCATCCCAAGAACCAAATAGTGGTTGTCAGAACCTTTGATGGTGTCCTTTGAAGTTCACCTGGGGCTATAGATAGCCCTGTTAATGAACTTATCATTATGGTTACAATCATTACTCCCTTTGACAGAATGAAATTGGTCATAACCTCGGGAAGGCCCCACAAATTATGAGAAAATTGATTCTGCTGGAATTGATGATGATGGAAAAATATCTTAAGATAATTAAGTAGGAGTTTGAAGAGAATTACAATGAAGACAAGTTTTTGTATTTATTCTACTAAACCAACTACAAGTTCAAAAGTCAAACGACAACAAAAATACAAGTAACTTGCAAATGAAAAGATCTTAATATATTAATTCTAACAAAATCCTACACCAATTAAATGACACAAATATAGATGAAAGTCCTAGATAAGATATCTAGAGAAAAAAGAAGATGAGGTATTGAAATAACAATACCCAGACAATAAAAAAACTGCTCTTACAAACAGCCCTCCATTGTATTAGCAACATTCCTAACCTTGGATGTCCTTCTCCAAGGGAATGCAACGCATTCACTAAAGAAGCCCTTCACTCCAGTAAAGAGCACACAATAACAAGAGTAAGTGGAAAAACTCAATCTTTATTTATAAGAAAGTACAGTATATGATTAGTGACTCACTAATTATAGCAATAAGGAGGAGGATACCAAAAGGTAGAATAACAAAAAAAGGAGGAGAGGAGTGGTCAACCACTTAATGTTTGATAGGGAATGCCATAAGTCATCGAAAAGGAAGGGGGGGGGGGGGGGAAAGAAAACAGGGGGGGGGGGGGGGATGAAGTCAAACAGGTGGTCGAGAAACCAAGAGTTGGATTGGTGGAAATTGCATGGGACAAAAAATATTGTAGTAGGAGAGAGAGGGAGTAACTGACCAAGGCATGAAGGAAGAGAATATCTTAATTCTTGGCACAATAGCACCTAAAACCTAATAACACAAACTAACATGAATCATGACTGAAAATGACTAAAATACATCAAAAAGACTTAAAATATATGAAAATAACATTAAACTAGTAATACATAAAAATCAATCAATACATGAGAATATCCCAAGTTAAACCAAAGAGTATTCGATAGAATGATTATTATGGCTCTGAAAAAGAAGTGATGGCTTCTTACTCTACTTCAAATTGTCTTTAGCTTTTATTTTGTTTTTTGTAGTTGTACTATTGGGAATCTATGAATTATAATTGTACTACTTAACTCTAGTTTTCTATATATATATATATATATGAGCCCAAAACAATGTTAAAACTTAAAAAGGTGTGGGTGCATGGAGAAAGGAGAGGATAGAGAGATAAGTAAATTGTTTACTATTCACTGCATCTGGAACTGTATAATCAACCACAATAACATTGGGATATTCATTATAGATGGAAGAAAGGACATTCTCTCTGTCAGATGGACCATGGATCATAATCTCTACATTGCCAACTTGTAAAGTTCTATTTGGCTTCTCCGAATTGCTGAATGTTACAGGAACTAATTGGAGGCCCGCACAAACAGCTGCATCAGCAACTGCCCTACCCATTCTTCCAGTGCAACCATTTACCTGGCAAGTTTAAATGATATGATTAAGAAAGAGATGAACATATTGATCAACAAAAAGGTTATGGATGGATGAAATGCTATTTTTTCACATAAATTCATCATACTTATAAGATACTAATAGTATCAACCAAATTCCTAGTTTTCTTTTAAACTTTCCCTAAACATTTCCAATGAAAAGCATATCGAAATTTGATACTTCCAAGTAGAAACAATTCTAGAAAAGTTCCTTCTCTTATGCATTAATTGAATCCAAAACTATGATAATTAAGAAACCATGCTTGGTTTTAAATACATTGACTGACATAAGACAAAATATACTAGAAGCAGTAAAAATAAAATGTAGAAGTGAATGGTCATAGATTTGAAAGAAAAATTAGGAGATTGAATATAAAGGAATGGCTAAAAAAAATAGATGGCATAATAGGGATGAGAAAGCAATATTCAAGAAAAACACTAACTTAGTAAACTAAAATACAATGTAATTAGTGAGCTTTTAGTATTTTCATGAAGAGTTATTTAGCATATGTACATGGTTCCAAAATGACTTCTTGTAAGAATTTAAAAAGCGATTTAAAAAGCGATCTTCACAATATGCATGCATGAAAGGTGAAAAGTTGTGCTTGAATTAAAATTATAATATGAAAAGTTGAGAACTTAACGAGATAAATGGCAAGTTGATAGACAAAATGCAGGCAAGTTGCAGTAGCTCAAATTTGCTAATCAGAGTCATGATTATCAGCAGCATGTGACCAACTAAAAATAACCAAAGAAAAACTTGAGCCCTCCAGCACTCCTTCCAGAATGCAAGCAAATTGGTTGCTAAAACCCTCCCGCTCCAATTCAATCATTCAAAGCTACAGAAACCCTATCACCAAAAATCTCATAAACCCTAACACAGGGAATGCTAAAAAGACTAACAATAAACGACCACAAAGGCACCACATAAGCTGAAAAATCGCATTTTTTTGGAGCTAACACCGTCCACCAATCCGCAGAAGATTATACCCTACCAAGATTGGAAAAGAGACGCCTGAGTGTTCGGTGGATGGAGCTTTAACGAGGCTTGGAGCAGCAGAAGCTCTGAAAATGGTATCGATGGGCTTCGCATGGCAGCACCTGCTCTTACCAAACAAGGAGCAGCGCTGCCTCGTACTTCCCCGAGAGAAAAGGGTAGTATCGAGGCCAAGCGAAGTCATTTCTCGAGGATATCGCTCGCTGAAAGCTTCAAAATTAGGTTTTGATGCTTGTCCTTGGCCCCGGAAGTTGGAGCAGCGGCGGCTCCGCGGCACCCGCTTACGAGCCCCCGAATGTATCAGTACAGTTCGATAACAGCAATTTGCAATAACTTTGTGGGAAGAAAAAAAAAAGGTTCGCTAAAAATTAATACAGAATTTACTAATTTAGTGTTTTATAATATTTATTTATTTTATAACTAAAAAAATTGTAGAATTTGAAGCAATTTTTGAATTTGGAACTTTCTAAATTAAACCATTCAAGCTCCGTTCAACAAGTTTATAGTAGAAATGAGTATTTCAATAAGAAGAGCCCAAAAATATCATAATACGAGTTCAAATGAGCCCAAATCAAACATTATAAAAAATTTATGATATAGTTTAAGGGCTAACGATATGTAGGGGTGTGTCAATTCGGGTCAGCGGGTCGGGTTCGGGTCGAACCTGAAACTGACCCGGCACTGTTCGGGTCAACCCGAACCCGACCCGTTTTTAAAAACGAGTCAGGTTTCTTGACCTGAACCTGACCCGATTCAGGTCCGGGCACCCGACACTAATGACCCGAATTTGATCTAAAATTGCTAATTTTCGGGTCAAAATCGGGTCAAAATGGGTCGACCTTGGGTTTTCGGGTCAAATATGAGTTTTCGTGTCACTTTTCGGGTCAATTTCGGGTTGCTGGGTCAACCCGAACCCGACCCGATTTTTAAAACGGGTTGATTTGTTCAACCCGAACCCGGATTTTTCTGGGTCAGGTTTGGTTCGTGTTTCGGGTCGTGTCAAAAATTGACATCCCTACCGATATGTGAGTCTAATGTGTTTATATTCATAAGAAGGTTCTCAACAAAAAGAATCTAACGAATACAATATCATTCAATTTCACATCATTAAGTTATAAGTCTAAAAAATAATCTATGATCAAGAGGATCAACACAGAACATCAAATGAGTATTTAAAAATTTTGGCAAAAATTAAAAAAAAAATAACTCCAAAAAATTATAAAGAGGATCTAAAATTGGAAAAAAGCTTTAAAATCAAAAGAATTTTAGACTGATGATTGACATCGACGATCATAGCAAGCCCATACCCTTTTCTCTATGCCCTTCATTAACAAGCCTTCAAACCCACATAAAAAAAAAAAAATTAAAAAAAAAGCCTTCAAAGCCACACAGATCATGAATCTTATCATGGCCTCCATTAACAAGCTAGCCATCTGCAGAATAAGATTCCCTTCTAATATGTAAAGAAGAAGAAAAAAATCTAAACTGAAAGCAGGTCTATAACTTCATGGCGTTTCTGACCATGAAAAAATACATCCAGACTATCCAGTTAACCTAATCAGTTATATTAATTAGATTTGTCATGGCCTAGGCATCAATATAGCTAAAGATTTTCTACTTTCTAAAATAATTTTTTAGTTCAAAAATTTGTTGAACTAAAATTTTTTGTACTAAAAAATTACTTCAAAAAACAATAAGAATGTAATCCCAAACAAAACCTTAATGCATGAGTTGTACACAATGCAGTATCCATAATCAAAGCAGAAAGTTCAGCATAAACAAAAGATGGCATCCAAATAAAATAGAGTGAGCAAACTATAGGATTCCAAAAGATAATTTCCTCCCTTTTAGAGGCACCGAAAGGATGCTGCTGGCGGGTCAGAATGCAAAAGGTACGATCACACTGTCCCGTATGACAAAATGGTCGTAGGCCTTTACATTCTATGCAAGCAGGTCAATATGAGAACAAATAAGATTGTACATACGATTAACCATGAAAGACACATATAAGTTTCCGTGGAATTGAAAAATGTCCACCACAAGACACTAGTTTCCTCTCCAGGATCCCCTTAAGCACAATCATGCACATAATTAGCCTCTCCATGACCAAGATAAGATTTTATATGTAATTCCTAAATTAAATACAAGCATTCATTCTTTTATAATCACCAAAGTTCTTTTAACAATAAATTTGAAAAACTTTATGCTTGCAATCAGTCTTCTCACACCGCCTAAACCTAAAACAAAAATAAAATAAGGAACATGATGTGAGCACGTAGAAAACTTTGAATTAAATATGCCTGAACTAAAATTTTCCAAACAAAATAAATCTCAAATCTCTGATATCACAGCACTAAGAAGAAATATGAGATATGGATTCCTCCTGAACACAACACAAGCATTTTGAAGCCATCTGGAAACCCAATTCCTCCAACCTTACCAACCTTACATCAATAGTTACATCATTCTTCAGAAGTCTCCAACAGAAATAAATAAATAAAGGTATATTTCTGTGCCAAATAATTTAATTGAGAGAAAAATAAACCTTGCTAAAAAACTCTAAAATCTAATTATCTTAAAAATAATGGAATGAAGAGAGGACACTTGAGTAGAGCATAAGAAAAAGCAGAACTGGACAGCGCCAACTATTATTTTCTATAAGATTTTGCTATGGTAGATGATGAGTTATTTGCACAAAGTTTAACATACAAATAAAATGGTCTCACAAGATGCACAAGAGATTTTACTTGAAAAACTCAGGAAGAGAAAATTTATGGGATATGACCTAATAAAACAAATTATTTGACTTTTACAAGAATCTGCCTTCTAAAAAACTAGAAAAGGCAAGATTAAAAATTATAAACTGCTATGCTATTCCTCAATCAGAGTAGTGGGAAATGTCAGAGGAATAAAAAGGAGTGATGGGAGCCAGTATCAGCCAACGGTTCGCAGTTGGGTGAAGGCGAATGTCGGTATTAGTCAAGCAATAGTGGACGTTGTTGGTCGGCGGTGAGCGGGCAATGGTGTTCGCTGATCGTTTTAGCTGTGGAAATTAGAAAGTAAAGAAACTTTAGCAGATTGACCAACCATAGATGTAAAAATGGCACATACTTGCATTTTACAAAAGAAACAAGAAAATAGATAAATAGATTGGCTATAGTTGGAGACTGTTACCTAAAATAAAATGTTCCATTAACTCAGTGAATAGCTCAAGTATGCGGTTTGTCCCGAGAAGACTGATATTTGAGCTGAAAGCACATTATTGGCAATATTGAAGTGCTTCAAAGCACCATTGAGAAGGAATAATCATCTTCCAAGTGATTGACTTAGTACCTCAAAATATCATGCAAGTTCTCTTTCAAAGGTGAATTTGTAGAAGTTTCTACTGAAGGAACCACATTATCCACTTCTATCCAGCTTGTAGCGTACTCTTTTCTCATTCCTTTCTCCTGCAAGGAATGTCTCACATTTTCCACTGACATCCACTTCCCATCCTCTGCATATATATTAGAGAGTAGAACATAAGAACCAGAAGACTGTGGCCCCAACTCCAAAAGTCGCTGAGCAATTTGCTCTCCAAGCAGTAAATTTCCATGTATCTTACAAGCTCCAAGCAATGCATTCCAAGCTCTTGAACTAAATTTACAGGGTTCTTTACCCAAACACTCCATTGCTTCCTCGAATCGACCAGCCCTTCCCAAAAGGTCCACCAAGCAAACAAGATGATTTTCTTCAGGTACAATGCCATGTTTCTCAGCCATGGACTCAAAAAATTGCCAACCCTCAAGCACTAGACCTGAATGGCTGCATGCAGTAAGAAGAACAACAAATGTGTTAGAATCAGGCTTGATCTCAATACTAACCATTTCCTCAAACAATTTAATTGCCTCTCTCCCATGACCATGACTACCTACAGCAGATATAATAGTATTCCACATAACTACATCCCTCCTGATGACACTTGAATGACGAAAAACTCGACGACCAGCCTCCAAATCCCCGCATTTGGAGTACATATCAATAAGAGAGCTAAGAACAATCGCATTTGGTTTGAAATGTGTTCTAAAGAGGCGAGCATGTATTTGCTTGCCATGTTTAACTGAAGCAATTGCAGAAGCAGCACAAATACAGCTGCTAAAAGTGAATTGATCAGGTTGAACACCATCATCAACCATAATTCGGAACAAATTCAAAGCTTCAAATGCAAGACCATTGCGTAAATACCCACCAATAAGCACTGTCCATGAGACAGGATTCTTCTCGGGCACCTCATCAAACAGCTGCCGAGCAGAACCCATATCCCCGCCCTTGGCATAGGCAGACACCATTGCAGTCCAAGCAAGAACATCCCTAACAGGAATTTGATCAAACACCTTCCTTGAATCCTTTATTATCCCGTGCTTAGCATAAGCATCAAGGAGCAAGCTCGAAACCACTAGATTGTAAGACCAACCAGCAACCAGAACCTGCCCGTGGGCTTGCAAGGTGAGGCTTTTATCAGCAAGGCTGGCGCAGGCAGTAAGTAGAGCAGAGAAAGTATGAGCATTGACAACGAGGGTGGAGCTACGGAGGCGGGAGTAGAATGCCGCAGCCTCCGCTGCCGCGCCAGTGCGGGCAAGGGCGAGGATGATGGTGTTCCAGGACACGAGGTCCCGATGCGGCATACAATTAAATAGGTTAACAGCATGAGCTATCAAGCCGAGTCGGACGTATCCTGCAAGCATTGTGTTATATGAGAAAACGTTTGGTTGAGGCATTTTGCCGAACAGGTCTTGGGCGCGGTCGGAGCGGCCAAGGAGGAAGTGGAGATGAAGGATTTGATTGGAGAGAAAGGTGTGGGAGGGGTAAACGGGCTTAAGAGCGGTGAAATGGAGAAAGTTGAGGACGCGGCTGGCTAAGGGGAGGGAAGCAGGGGAGTGAAGGCAGTGAGAAAGAAGTAGGGAGAGAGTGCGGGTTGGTGGGCGGAGGCCGTGGCGGGCAAGGAAAGGAAGGACAGAGACGGCATCGGCGAGGCGGCCGGCGGAGATGTGGCGGTTAAGGTCGGCGAGAAGGCAAGGGGAGGCTTTGGCGTGTTGGATGCCACGATGGGGCATCGGCGGCGGTGGCCCGGCAGCTGCACGGCGTTCATCCCTGCATCGGGAAGGAGAAATTGAAGGGTAGATTTTGGCTCAAGATTCGGTGAGGGAGGTAGTTGGAAATTAGCCAGTGACTTGATCAAAAGAATTCAATTGATTTGCTGATGATCGATCGGATTGAGGTGTTAATGATTCAATGATTTGAATTGGATTGAATCGGATCATATAATAAACATTAATTATACTCATATATTATATAATTTATATAATAATGATATCATAATTTATAGATATTTAATAAAAAATTAAACAAAAACATAATATGGAGCATAAAACATACATAATAAATAAATTTATTAATTTAAAATTAAATGCATTCATTTTGTAAGACGAAACAAACAACACGAAAATCGATCTAATCTAAGCCCAAATGATCCCAATCAAGGAATTGAAGCTTATTTTGAATGTTCAAAACATTTATTGAATGGTCATATGATCTTTAAATATTGCATGCTTATAGTCGAAACAAGCGGCTCAAGAAGACAAATCCAACAAGCGTAATATCGCCTAATTCTAGCATCATTTGGGCATATGAATGTTTGACAAACGCTCTATGATTGAGAGGATCAATATGGGACGTTTGATGGAGCACTCCAAAATTATCTTGGATTTTCTTTATATTTATGGAGCATGTCACTTACAAAAATCTATAAATAGACTATTACTCTCTTCATGAAGGGACCTTTGGCTAGAGATGGGAAAGTGTTGACTGGTCCACCGCCCGGCCACCAGACCATGTCCCGTTTGTTAATCGCCATCTAACTTCCATCCGACCATCGACAACCTTTGGACTTCCGACGACCATCTTCTGACCACTGTCATCAATCAACCATGGTACCTCGAACCACCGTCACCTGCTGACTACGACCACGGTCGCACCCCCTACCTCCGACCTCCATCACCCACCAACTACGGTCCCTCCAAACTCCATTGCCCATAGACTATGATCCTCTGACCTCTGTTGTATGCTGACTACCATCCCTCCAACCACCGTTGCCCGAATACGATCCCTCTGATCTCCATCACATCTTGACTATGGTCTCTCCAACCTCGGACGAACACTGACTACAGTCCCTCCAACCATCATTGCATGTTAAGTATGACCCCTCTGACCACTATTGCCCAACTATTGTCCATCCGACCTATGTTGTCCATCAACTACAATCCCTATAACTAGCGTGGCCCAAATATGATCCCACCGATCAAACAAACATGTTAACACTCTCTTGAGAATAACTCTTATATCATTAGATTCTTCGAACTCCCCATGTAATGTGCTATAAGTGATGTATATTTGCTACATCGAGCCAAGACCTTGCCCCAAGGAAGTGCCTCATTTATAATCAACAATAAATACTAGTAAAATCATTTTAACTGGGCTGGCCCCCGTGATTTTTCTCATTTTTATATTTTTTTCAAGTAAAAATCTTGGTGTCTTTTATGACTCTTGCACCCGTCTCTCTTATTTGTATATGTGCTAGATCTTCTTACAAAGCTTAGAGGCTAAACTCTATATATCCCTACCACCGCAAATATTCCAGCCTACATGAAGTATAATAAAATATATCCTATATTTGCATCATAAAAATTATCCCCAAATGTTGACTCTCCAAGTCCCCTTCACCAAAATCCTTCATCCCAAATGCGTCTAAATCATCGAAACCAATTATATCATCTCTATATCCTTCATTATCCACATCACCTTCATCAATAAATAAGAAATCTAAATTAAAAAATGATTTTTAAATTTATCAAAATGATATATTTATATTTAATTATCATCTTACTATATCTTTGTTGAGCTGATGGTATATTTTGTTCTTTAGTAATAACATTGCATCCTCTCTATATATCTCATTCTCTATGACCTCTAAGTCAAGCTCTGGAGTTGGCTCATCATTAAGTAACTAAAAATCAAAAGATTTAGACACACATCAAAATACTTTTTCCGAGGATCAAATCGACTTGGCATGATAAACCCATAGAATATTGACTAATTGGCCATCAATTCTTAAAACAACTTTAAAAAGCAGTAAAAAAAATCGTCCCAAACGAAGCCTAAAATTATTCGTTAGCGTGTGGGCGCAACTTTTACGTGAGGATCATGCAATACGAGGTTCAATTAATGATATAAATTTATAACAATAATATTTTTTTTTTTCAATTTCTCTCTCAAACATGCTCAAATTTTGCAATTTCTAGATTTGTCTAATGTTAATAGCCTATGCTGATTTGTTTAACAAATACTCATCTGATTTTTTCTTAAACATTCAGTTTATCATCTTTTTTACTTCTTTTTGCCTAATTTTTTTCATAAAGTAGGTGCACAATACTCATCTAAAATTTGATGAGCAATTCCAACCAAACAGGACCAGATTCTGCTCGCGTTTGAGGAAGCTTCTATGCTTCTCAATGCAACTTTTTTGTTAATTGCATATTGTCATCCATTTAGGTGAAATATGTAAAACTGTTTTTGCTTAGGTGGCCAATTTAAAATTCCCTCCTACTAAAAAATTAGCATGTTATCAATCAAAGCTGTGAAAAAACTGTCTCAATCAGACCCTTACAAATTACCTTCATTTTTAAAAAATTATGTGCCAAAAATCATTTTTAATAAATATTATAGATGAAAAATGGCTATATATATATATTTATTAAAATTATTTGATTGATAGGATGTAATTAATTTTGCTATAAGTTATTAAATAAAGTTTCGTTTGGGAAAGCTTTCTTATTATTTACTAAAATATTTTCTTAGTACAAAAATTTTTTATGCAGTAAGAAAACTGTCCAAAAAAAGCCTAAATAGAGAGGTTGCTCTCCGATGAGCAACGCCGATCATCATTGACATAATTTATGTTGATAGTTATTGATCTGTGGACAATTCAATTTAAAGAGGCTTATAAGTCAAATGTATGCCAATTAAATTCAATTCTTTAAAGCTCATACCCCACACTATAAAGGATTTTTGAAGATCCAACTTGGAAGATCTTTTTTTTTTTAACCCTAGCAAGATTGTCCATATCCTTAGCTTATCAAGAAAAAATATATATTTAAAAAAAAATAAAAAATTGTTGGTCACCATCTTTTGTATAAAAAATGGAGAATAATTTGCATAGTGGTGCTATGATTTGTGATGCTCTATTTGACACCAATTTAATTATTGGATTTTGGAGTTATTGTGGATATTCTTTAGCTAATCCTTCTAGAAGGAGTTTCTACTTGGTAAAATTAAATATTTATTCAATTTATAGATGATTTTGTTGGGATATTGATGAGGATTGCAATAATTTAATATTTGAAAGTTGAAGGGGAATTTTACATATAGAAATAAGTTGAGAATAATATGCAGGAGATATAAAATTTGTTATGTGGAAGATTCAGGGAGAAAGAATTAGACGACTTTATTCAATTTAAATAAATTTATTTGTATGAGTTAATAATCAACATGAGTTTATCATGATAGGAAGATAGATCGGTAAGTCGGGTGCCTAGAAAAATGAGTGTTAAACATTATTACTTAGTGGGCATTTGTTATTAATCAATGTTAAGAAGCCAACGATGATTAATAAGGGATATCCTAAGTTGGCTGATATTAGAAGGCTATCTTAGTCATTCTTCTAACATAAGAGGAGACTGAGTGAATAACACGGAATCAACTGACAATCAACAAGAAATGTCAAAAGTTGTTTAACATAGGGTGGTCAACTTAGTTGTGCACATGATAGAAGGGTTGGTTCAATGATCAAGAAGACAAGAGTTAGGTATTGTTAGTTAACAGACATTGGTCATTAATAGATAATACATACAGATTGATAGGTACGCTTTGCTGTTCTTCAATTAAAGTATAATATCAAATGAACATAATGAAGAACTTCATATATCGGTGACCGACGAAAATTTATGGATATCATGTAGTGATCAATAATTGAACCTTGAAAGTTCAATACTGAAAAGTAGCTTGCATAGACAAATATGAGAGAAGATTAATTGAACATGAAGATTGGTGTTAGAAGTTGATGGCCGGTAGATATCAAATTTTTATCATTAGCAGGCATCAAGTGATAGTTGACTAGAAAAGTTAAAAAAATGGGTGATAGTTGGTTATTAGATTTTCACTCTCTTAATAAGATGTAAAATTGAGTTACTAGAAATACGTGCTTTGAATGTTTGAAATGGATATATGACAAACATCAATTGTTAACTATGTGTTAGGTGATGATTAAGAAGACACTTCAAAAATTGAGATATTTTGGGTGATTGACTTGGTTATCATTTTGCTACGATAGAAGAGTGAGGGATTTGAAAGACTAGCATAGAACATTTGTAGTTAACTAATCTCATGTGCTAGTCATTATCATGCATCAGAAGCAATCTAATATTAGAAGTTGAGTAATGATAAGTGCGCAAATTAGTTGTTCTTAAAAGATATGGAAAAATTGTGCAACTAGGAAGGCAAGTTTTAGAGGTAGATCAATGATTAGCATCATGCGATGGACGACATAAGGCAGATAGGGATAGCGAGCGTCAATAGTTTGACAACAATGAGCATCGACATTGGCTGATGGTAGGCATCAAGCAATGGGTGACAACATGTGTTAGATTCCGGTCGACAACCAACATCATGAGATAGAAGATACTATGCACTAAATGATGATCAACACATAGCGCTAGGAGACAGATGATGACATGCATTGACTTCATCGAAAACCAACATCACGCAACATTTGAGTTGATGTTGGTTGATGGATAGTGACAACCAATGTAGATGTTAGATAAAATTCTATAATTCTCTATAAAATTTAGATTTCTCTATTATGAAAATCATCTTCTATATAAATGTATTAGAAAATATTTATAGATTTAAGGAGAGACATTATAGAAATATTCTAGACACTCTAACAAGCGATCTGATAAATCACTCTTGATGCTCATATAGATTATGAACTTAAAATTGTGCATTATTGGAATTTTATATCAATTTCAAGGATACACTCATTTTGATTATAAACATATATAATTCGGAGGATATTTGGACACTTAAATGACATCCATCATTCGTAATTATATACTCCTAAATGCTTTATTTATGCATGTAGACTAACATCATAGCGTTATTGATATCATTAGATTCTGAAATTAAAGCTGCTC